CTTCATTGCAAAAGTTAGGGCATGTATGCAATTAACATTTTTTTACCGACCAAGAAAAAAATGTTAATTAAAGGGCAATATAATTAATGTTATACTTTTTCTGTGGTTCATCATTTGTAAACAGTTTGTTTTTGGTATATAAAAAGTTAACCAAACGCAATGTTAAATGGTTAATAAAACAACTTTTTGGCAAAAGTAGCACAGCATGCGGTAATTATTTATGAATAATGTATTGGGTACAATGTTATCGCCTTGATAATACGATTTTTCTAAAATCCTCTTGAGGTAACGCGAAATTGATTGAAACCTATTAATTGCGTGACTCACTTGCACATATTTAGTATTTGTAAAACTTGTAGTATAAAAAACCTTTTATTTAAAAGGTTGAATAACTTGCTTTCTTAAATCTTTATTGTCAATATTTTACGTTACTTATAATGACGTAAATATTATAGTTAATACTTTTACACGTGTTTTTATATTTTATTTATATTAATTAACTGTAGTGATTTATTCAAGCAGCAGCATATAATTTTTTCAAAAACACCATTTGCAAATTCCTTACCTATGTATATATATTCGATAAACTCTTCATAAAACATAATATATTACTATGTGTTTACTAAGAGTTTAAGCTGGTTACCGTAAGTGGTTACCGTTTACGGATGTGAATGTATTAGCAAGAATTTAGTACGAACTGTTTGGAGATTATGTGTTCTGTAATACTACTTTTATAACGTAAAATGACCTAATAATCGAATTCACATTTAATTTAAATGAAATAAAACTTATTTGTAAGCATAATAAGAGTAAGAGCGTACTTAATAATATTCTTATTTAAAAAAAAAAGTTAAAACCATTCTTGAATCCACTTGAACCTACAGAAGAAAAATCAAAATTCGCTGTTTAGAAGTTTAATATATAAATATTTTTCAAGAAATTCCGTTACAGTGCCCATACTTGGCCAAAAATTTTCAATATTAAAATTCCAGTGTCTCCCTCAAAAAATAAACTTCTTCGTAGTTTGTTTTTGATAGCTTTTTCTGAAAAATCTTTATACTATTTAACATAAGTTGTCCAGTGAATTTCTTCTTCAAGTCAGGAAAGTGGAATTGTTGCCTATGATGATGAGACTATGTAGTTGATGTGCAATTACACGGTAGTAATCTATAACTTCTAGGAAGGTGATTAAATATTTTGATAGCCATGGTAACATTTTTTTAAATACATCGTGGTGCGATATGCACACAAAGCCGTGTTGGGTCCTTCGTTAGATATAGGCAAATTTCTTTAAATACTTTGAATTTTTGAACGCCGAACTTGTTTTCGCACAGTTTTTACAATTAAATAGTATGCAACTGCAACCATTACACCATTCTAAATTGTCATTAAACGTATCTGTAAAACATATCCCGATTAAAGATTATAAGAGTTCACAATTATAACGATTATCTATGGGGTAATTAATTCAAATTAGTGGCTTACTACTCAAAGGGCAGTAGCGTTGCGATTAAGAGCTATGATGTTTTAATATTGACGTTGTATCAAAATACTAATATTTTAACGAAACCGCGAAAACTAAACAAACCTAATTAAAATTTAACAAAATGACCAACCAATAAAAAACAGACGTACACATTCCACCGTAGCACTTCTATAGCGGTCAGAGGTCGCTCGTAATTCGGCAGTATATTCCACATAAACGCACCTCTCACCTTGAATAGACCATAAAGCCGTCTGAAATACCACGTCCAAGAAACATAAAGCGACAGATTATCTATCCAAATCTTAAATTGGATTAAAGTGCCGTTCTTCTTACGTTTCTCGGGTTTAATATGGGTATTAGCAAAATTTAAATAGTATTGTCAATATTTTAAAAACTATAAAGTTTACTAGAATATGTAAGTTTTATATATTCTTAGATAAGGTAAAATTGCAAAGCTGATCCCCAAGTCCCTTATTTAAATAAATCAATAAAAGTTAAGTAGTCCTCCGGGTTAAGCTTTGACCTTAACTTTGAATAATGGTTCCAGGTATACTTTGCCTAAACTTTAAATTAAGCTTTCGCTTTTGGCAATTAGGAATAAAAAAATCGCGTACATTACGATTTGATATTTCTACAAATATCTTCAGTAAATTTCCATTAATAATATATGTAAAAATTAATACTGTGCTAAATTAAATAGTTTCAACAAAAATGTAGGATTATCTTTAGTTTTCTACTTCTATACAGCTAGCACATCTCACAGATTAATATTTACAATACAAAAAAACGAAAACCCTTTTATTTTATTATTAAAACAAAAAGGATCGAATAATCATTAATATATTCATTAGAGGGCCCTTTATAATTGGTAACCAGAAGCAATTATTAATATTGTACAGTATTTGATACCTGATATACCGTATATTCTTTAAATGTTCCTGCTACTGGAACCCTTTCAATTTACTTTGCGTTGTGTGAGTGCACTGAAGTCCAAATAATATTGTGTAATTATTTTTATTTATTTAAACCAATAATAAGTCTTTCTCGGTTAATATTTCTTCTGTAATAAAATATTATTGAGTGTGTTAATAAATGGCTATCTTTTTTGCATATTCGGTATACACTGTTGTATCTAGCATAAAGTTTTACATAAAAAATTACATCTCTAAAATAAGTTTACAGTATGTGAGTTAAGTCCAAGCTCACATATTATTTTATATTTTGCTAAATTATTCGTGGTTTTTTAAGCAAACAATTTATTTTGAAGCGTTTATCGGAATCCAAACACGCTGTGGTGTAATTTATCGGGACATTCTGCCACCGGACAACCGAGATACGGTATAAGAGAGTTATAGAGAGATTATGTAATATATTTTTCGTAAGTTATAGCTTACATACATACGTACCTAAGCTATTGCTTACGTACGCTTACATAATAAAATATAACAATTTTTTCTTATTTTAAATATTCTGTGAGTGTTAAAAACGATTTTTTTTATCTGTCTAAAATAATTACAAATTTATGTTGATATTAATGATTGGATGTATCGAGGGAATAGTCAATTGTGGCTATGCGGATTCAAAAGGCACGGTGAACGGTCTGAAGTTTGGATTTGATTGGATCATTCGATGAATTGAAAATATTAATTAGAAATACATTGAAAAAAATTATACACCTAGATTTTATAACTAATAATACAATCAGCTCCTGTAAACCCAGCCAGGGTACAAATAAATAGGTCTACTAGTAAAATATGACAATGTCCAAGATATTTATACAGTCCTAGCAAGTTTATTCAATGCAATAAACGAATGTAAAAACAGAGAATAATTAATAAGTATGTAAAGTCGATTTAAGCCATTTATAAAGTTTATTTGATTTATTATTTACCTTCGAAATATGCAAATGAATAGTGGGCCTGATAAAGTACTTGTAATATATAACTATCGGATCATTAAGGTTTAATAAAAATTTTAATAATGAGAATATATATGTGTAATATCCAAGGCCAATGTAAATTTACCCCCAAATATAAATTATAAACAAATATCTTATCTATTCAATTAATAATGTAAGGAAGTTAAAAAGTGTAAACTTCTACGTTCTAAGAACAATGAATAACAAAATAATGTATACCTTAAAATTGATAAAGTGCTATTTAAGGTAATTATTGTCCTTACATGCGTAAAGGACATTTTTTTTTCAAACAGACAAAATTTCAATTGGACATATTTATTATTTATTTCTATATTATGCAAAACCTAGACGGCTGCGCTGCTTTTTTAACAGTGCAATGGATCTTAAATGATTAACCTTTTGACAGCCCAGCACAAGTCATCACGGATGCCTTTCTTGTGGATTTATCATATCTAATAATAAAAATAAATAAATCAGTGGCACTACAACCTCTTTAGGTCTTGGCCTCAGATTTCTGAATCTGTTTCATGATCTTTTTTAAATCTAATAGGCAAGTAGGTGATCAGCCTCTAGTGCCTGATACACGCCGTCGACTTTTTGGGTCTAAGATATGTCGGTTTCCTCACGATGTTTTCTTTCACCGTTTGAGCAAATGTTAAATGCGCACATAGAAAGAAAGTCCATTGGTACACAGCCGGGGATCGAACCAACGACCTCAGTGCACAGCCGGGGATCGAACCTACGACCTCAGTGCACAGCCGGGGATCGAACCTACGACCTCCGAATAATATTAATATAAATTATTTTCCATTCTCCCCAGTTGACCCTGGCGGTATGGTGTAGTCGAAGTGACGTCCCACGCTTAGGCCGAACCTATAGCGCGCTGTTGGCATCGCGGCAGCGTGCTGCAGCCACCCAGAGGTTAAAATCACATCCAAAACTGTTACGCCGCCTCTCCACAGCAACTACACATATCTGTGAACCGGCCTCAAGATCACAGGTGAGGTTAGACCAAAACTTTTATAATAAAGGGAACGGTAACTTATTATCTATCTAATGCATGTTAATTGCTGATGTTTTTGATGAATTATTTTCTATATTAGATGAGTTCTTTTCAGCTCAACTTCGGTGTAAGCATGGCTTTTTTTACTTCTTGTAATATGTTTGTTTATAGCAAATGTTTTCACTATGCGGTGTATAATTTCAATACCATTGCTATAGTTGCAACTTGTTTTAATAACCTTTATAAGCCAGCAACGTTGGTATTTTGGTTGTAAGGTATATTTTAATGAACTAAATCGTATTCAACATTTTTAATCCTATTTAAAGTTTTACTAGTAGTATTTAAAAGTTTTACTTAAATCTTTCTTATATTCAAACATCGACAAACCAATGGAAAAATATATAAGATTTTCATAATTGAGTATTGTATTCAGTATTTATTGCAATGAGTTTATTTTTATGTTATTATAATAATGCAGTAAGTACCAATTGTTTCTGTGTTTATTAGTAAAAAATAAACACGGTGTATTGAATGCGTCGTATATTTTAAATGTAGTTTTGTAATTTACTATATTTTCATATCCACACATATAATAAGGCAATTAGCAACTACCGTTTCTGTATAAGTAGGCCACAGACGGTTATTTATTTCGTTTTAAACCTTTCTTTCAACTCAAAACAAAAATTAGTTTTCCATCAAAACTACTTGGTTTTACACTCAGTAGGGCTATAACACTCAAGATATAAAGACTGTTTACAAAGACATCACATCAATATGAAGTCTTACATATATAAAACAATATACTTGACATACGTGCGTGCTTAGTATGTTTTTATTTGCAGGATATACGATAAACTGATTTCATTTGTTTCAAATGATACGATCAACTTTTCACGAGTTTTCTGCGTTATCCTTAACTGCGTAAAGTATGGAATATAAATCATGGCCTTGGAATGAGGTTTTCGTTATCGGCAATAAAGTCACATGGTAGGATCTTGGTTGAATTTATGTTTGTCACATACTTTTTTCCGCAATTTGTACAAAATCAATGTACAATATGGGTTCAAAGACTACAGAGGAAAGGTAGAAAATATAACATTAACAAATTTAGGTTGCATTCAAGAAAGTCTATTTATTCTTTTATAAAAATTCTATTTTTTAAGTAATTATCAAAACAATCTATAAATTCGAACTGCTAAATTTGTAAATATAGTAAGTAATAATCACCCTTGGTTATTTATTCTACTAATATATTTGAGTAATGATATAGTCGTACATATGCTATTCGTATTAAGCTAATAGAATCCCTAATGTGTCATCATATTGCCATAATTTTTAATCTTAAAATAGTCTTAAACAACTTTGTACCATCGCTGTCATACATCCGTCTTACGTTTCGTCGTTTTTCTTAACGCGCAATTAGATTTTCCTTTCCAAAAATGTATATTTTATTCTTCATTCGGAAAAATTTTTTGCTACGTAACAAGTCACACGTAGCGTTTATTTAAAGATACATTATTTATTTAGATAAGTACCGTACATCGCAACCTAAAATGCGGACTAATATTGTTTGGTTTATGCGAGTTATTTCTTAAATACCTCTTTAATAGATGTAAACGTTTATAATTAATAATAATTAACTATGTTTCAATCATAGTAGCGAAAAGTGTTTAGGTAACAATTTGTATTTTTTTAATCCAGCAAAATATTGCAATATCAATTTCGCGGCAATTGATGACGTGCAACTTTAAAAGACAACATATTGATCTATTAACTAGGTGAAGCGGTTTTCGCAAACCATGATTGCTGCAAACTACTCGAAACATCGAGTTTTTTAAAACATGTAATAAATGGCGTTATATTCGTCAAAAAAGTTTTTAATCGAGTTATGTTTTAAAACTGAGGTGCACAGATCTTTATTAGATAAAAGTAATTGAATTTCGAATTGTACGCAAATTTATAGATAATTAGATGTGTTAATGCTGGTTATAGAATCTCCAATTACATAGGTAAACCCCTATAATATGAATAATTTTCAATAAGGTAGACTTTCTAAAGGACGACTCGGTGTACGAAAGACCTGTTTTATCCGTTAATAAAATTAAAATTTTTCATTACGAGGACGTTATGGTATAATTTGGGATAAATTGTATTATATCTATATTATTCTACAAAAGATCCTATACAAAAGTAATCCCTTAGTTATCTTACCAATAAAGCGGTTTAATTAAAAGTTCCCGGTAAACCTATAGGTACAGTGCAATGTGCCGTATCGTTATGGCCCTCGCTTACTACTACTGCTATTTCTAGGTTTTATTGCTAAGATACTCGGCAGGCATGTCGGTCTAGAAAATTTTCTAGTCAATGCAGTTTTATTTCAGCGTAGGAATTTCATGCAAGTTATTTGTACAATCACAAATTTACATAAGTAGGTATTCAAAGACTCTTCTATTTATACTCATTCCTGTTATGTAAAAATTATTACGAAGTGAAAACATTTGTCGAGGTGATGAATTTAATGCCTGGATCTAGTACAAAGTTTATAACCGAAGGATAAAAATAAGCGAAGGAACCATTTCTAGACTTTTAAAACATTCCAATCCAGTGGCGCTAAAACCCTTTATGGGTCTTCGCCTAAGGCGGAATCCTTTTTTATATATGTAATTTAAATTTTCTCATTGACAAGTGATCGACCTTCTCTGCCTGATACGATAGATTTTTGGGTTTAAGACATGCTTTGTACTGTGATTGATGCATTTAATTCCCTTTATGTTATTTCAAGTTTACTGAATTAATGTCGTCGAACGTCAAAAATTCTAACGTCTCGTCTAAAAAAAGTCTGAGATTTGCCCATTCTGATAAGATAAGGCCTAATAAAGCTTTTTATTGCAGCGAAGAAATCTCTCCATCGTGAACGAATCGCCAAATGGGACTTGGGTGTGGCCACAACCACGTAACGAGGTATCCGATTCCTACACGTCACCTCGAAGTATATCCAACTCAAGCCTTCATGAATTCGATCAAGAGCTAAGCGGGGAAGAACTAGCCACTTACATGTATCAAGTTAATTGTAATATTGGGGGATTAACCTGAGACACGTTCGTTTAGACTCCGGTCTAAACAACCCAATGCACATGATTTATAGGATTTTGACCCTAACTGGTATATCTGTGATATGTATATACGAGTGAACGTGAATGTTTAAACTGAAGAGGTATTGAAATTGCGTCCTTGTTTAGAAAAAAAAATGTTTTTCATGTTTGGTGAGACTCGACATGGAGTCTAGGATTTAGAGAAAAGTCTAAGCGTGAACATACTCCGACCTCTCAAAATTTATATTATTAATTAATTTAGTTTACCAGTTTACACGAATAATACAACGTGTTGACACTCTTATTTATTCATTATATATATGTATTTATAAATAAGTTTTAGTTAAATTTCTTAAAATGTATGATGTATCTTTCTAATGATCTTCTTTCATGTAGGGGAGTTTTATTTTGTTAGTTTTTGTACTATAAATAAAACCATTTATTTAAAGATAGGGTTTGAAATCATTTTTGTTTTCAAGCAATGTCGGCAATGTTTCAGCGTGCAACTCTTATCACTGAGGTCATAGGTTCGAACCAATGGACTTTCTGTCTAACCGGCGATGCTTAACCGGAAACCTGAAACCTAACCGGAAACATGCTTTAGACCCAAAAAGTCGACGGCATGTGTCAAAATAAAAACCAAATTATCACTACACAGATACAGTCGTAACGCCATTGTTTATTTTATGTATGATTTTTGTTATTATATGTTTTTTTATTTGAAAATCCTACCTAATGTTGAAGTTTATGAGATCTCTCTGAATTTTAGCTTAAGTGTATATATTTATTTAATATTAAACATTAGTATTACTAAATCACAAGTTACTAAATCTAATTTTTTGCAAAAAATATGATGTAGAAACGACGGGCAGTTAAGAAAAATGGAAAATACTTAAAAACGTTTGGTTTGAATTTTAAATGAAAAAATTGTTATGTTAATTTATATGTTAATGAGGAAATTAGTATGGTATAACTAAAGTTTATTATGCTTGAATAAATGAGAAAGGCGACCTTGTACTATGTGTACATCGTATATGTAATATTAATAAAAAAGTATCGAATTGTTATACCTAATGTGACTTATCGTTGGAAAGTGTAAATAAAATAGGTTAATTACTGTACGTATATTGTTTCTTATGAGAGTTTTTAAAAAGCGTGACTAAATGTAATAAAAATCTAGATACAAAATATATATTGAGTAAGTAAGTGTCGTTAAATAAGTACGCTTGTAAAAGGCATCTAGTGAAAATTAAATTATTTTGATTGTTTCTATGTTAAGTAAAAAGTAACGGTTGATTGAATTTTTTATATATTGTGTACAGTAAAAAAAGTTATGACAAAAAAGTTTTATCGTTAAATAAATGTTATTAAAGGAACTGTTCCTTTTAATTGCTTTTTCTTTTTATAAAATGTTTTTACAACACAACAAATTATTAATCGTATTTTTAATGCTTAAACACCATGGAAAAGTAAAGTTGTCAAAAACGTCAATTTAATTTATACATAATTCAAATGACTTTGGTCGTCATGGGATAAGTCTCCGACACCTACTACTGTTTGTTACAATATGATCCATAGTATTATGATCAATATTCTGTTCTAATCTGAAACGTATAGACGTACGAATTCGTTAGAATTTAAATCCAGGACATTGAAGAACTAGATAAAAACACAACTTAATTCCTGACTATTGGTAGTACCTGAATGTTACTTTAAATTGTAATAAAATATTAGTATGTATTGCAGAGAAGGTAATTAAATTGACAACAATTATAAGGCGATCTTGCTCTGTGCGACCGCTGGAATCTTAAATATTTATACAACAAGAAAACCACTAAAATAACACAGAAAGTGCAAGACGAATATTAGACAGTTCAAATACTAAAATCCGAGAGTTGGGCTGTCCATACTTAATATGTGCTATCATAGGAATAGATTATGATATACAGAGTGGCCAAAAAGTCGTGGATCCAACGCAAATAGGGGATAGATGAGGTCATCAGCAGCAAAAAAATGTTCTACGGGAGGTTTCTAAGCTCAACCCCTGCAGAGATATAATTAATTTTGCGTTTTTATAAGAAAATTGACTTTTTTTACTAGTTCTTATTGAAATTCGAAAAAATCTACTTCCTGTATCTTTATCATAATATCCACTAGATTGGTACTGATGAATCCTAGCGTTAGACATACTATTTATAGTTGTTTATTGAGTGTATTGAAGATAATATTATGTTATACGATATAACATTTTTTCAAATCATAACTTTTTGTTTACTTCGGACCCCGCTGTAAAAAAAATATACTCTATCGAAAAGTGACCCTATATCACAAGATTTGGCGCATTTAATAGGGATTCTGAAAAGGTATTACACATGGCCACGAGTCACTCTAATATCTTTCTAGGTAGAATCACAAACAACGATTGTGAAATAATTGTATTAAAACAATTATTTCTCCATCATATACAGGTATAGAGAAAGAAATCGGAATCATATTTCACACTTTTATGGGATGAATTCTGAAAGATCTGTCAAAAAAGTTATATATAGTTGTGTCATTGAAAATAATATTAATCTATCTTGATAATTCATATTACTATATACGATACGATATCGTATGATAATTATCCTACCATTAATTTGTGACGTCGCGCATAAAACATAATTAATTTAATTATAGTATTAACTCACTTCCGCCTCAACCGAGACATTAACATAAATTCTGTGTGAAAATTTTGAGGTAATCATAATTTTAGAAGAAACTGTAGGTATATTAAAGTACTTGATAAATATATATCATATAATTAATAAAAAACACGTTAAAAGAACTCAAATGTAACTTGACCAACGTGTTTAAATTAGACATTCATGTAAATAATATCCATATTTTTAGGACATGTTATATTTTTTCTTGTTGTTACCTAATACGTGGGTAACACTGAAAATGTTTAGAATTGGCCAGTTGAAAACTTTTTTGAACATCAATTTCAGAACTCTTTGGTAACCTATTGTAGTATATTGCATTCATTTGTCATTTCTTTTTGTGAATTGGCGGCAAATCTAAAACTCTTGTTACACGTGAAAATGAACCTAACGCGAGAAAATTTTCGGTTTATTATGACTTTCGTTGTGGGCTTACTCAACAATAAAGCTATGATAGGCTGCTATTAGCATTTCTTAATGAAGCCCCATCTCGTGCCACTATTTACAATTGGTTTATCGAGTTTAAGCGTGGACGTAGCAATCTCAATGATATAGAGGGACGTCCTTTAACAGCGACTACTGAAGATACGTGCTGTGCGACGCATGATAGAGGAAGACCTACTGCGTTTCTCAGTGGTCTAGAGAGGAACGGAGATTACTTCGGAAAACAATAAAAGTATTGGCAACTTTCTACAATAAACCGTTTTTCATTTTCTAAACATTATCAGTGTTATCTAGGTACTTAAATAAAGCTGTTCGTTTCATATTTTAGGGAATTTCAATCATATAATTAGGAATAAATAATTACATTTAAGTTTAATTTTTTAAATAATAACACTTACACCGTCAAAGCAAATGATTTTCATTTGTCTCAATCTAAATAGGTCGATACAAAAATGGCCTTAGTTAAATCCCATCTGAATGATGATAGTGGAAATATTATTTCATATAAAATCTACCGGGTTTGAAATCGAACCGTATGTTATCGAACTAAAATTCAATAACTGTACTCATAAATCTTTCACAATAATATGCTGAATTTCAATAAAATGCAAGAAGTTTCATATCAAAGCGTTGCCTCAATGCAAGTGCCTTTTACTTTGTGAGTTTGAATTTAATGAGGTTTCACTCGTTTAGTATTTTACTTTTTTATAAAATTTCGAAGACGAAGATGTTTCATAATACCATGGATGAATAAGGCTTTTTATATAAGCCTTAACTGACTGCTTATGCGAGTTTTATGCATTTTGGAGTAGAGGTAAGGTTAATATCTTAAGAAGGTCACGTACTACGCCCTAAATCGAAAACATACAAGTTTAATTTCAAATCCATAAGGCATTTACTGATTTTTATATGAATAGCGATGCACAATTAACGTCACAGAATAGAAAAGTAAGGAAAATAGAGGCGTAATTAAGCTATGATTTCCGCCATTTTACATATGCATCAAAGTGACTGATACAAAATTCGTAATGTATCCTAATTTGTCTATAATATATTATGTAATTTCTAATCTTATATAGATACATAATGTATAACCTCCAAATCCCCTGCAGCCTTAAGATGATAATAATTAATTATGTACACTGTGAACAGTATCCCCAAGATATAACGGCTTAATGTCAGATTATTCGCTTCCCGTAACAAAATGTTATGACGGTTAGGAATTATGACCTCATAAGTTATTATATATAACCCAAAAGGTATATAACTAATGATTTCTTTCAGCGTACAGTAGACTTCTTAAACAATTTATCCTATGTAGTATTATCACATACTACATAGGATTTTTGTAGGAAGAACGGTTTACTAACGGTTGACCTGCAACCTGAAGGGAGAATCCTCTACCAGTATAACTAACAGGCCGGCTCGAAGCCCCGAGTACCTAAGGTCGAGCACTTGTACAAATCCTTAGCTTTCGGATTAACTTTGTTAGCGTGATTTAGGGTCATTCATCGCAGTAATTGTAGCCGTATATTGTAGTCGCCGTTGACAGTCGCTACAGATTCAATGCTAAATTAAGAGCAATGTAAATTCCTTTGAAATACTAAAGTGAGTGCCGGCGACAATCTCGAAAGTTTTATAAGTGTCATTGTGTATTTATATAAGTTTATTCGATAGATGCCATTTATTTTAAAATCATATATGTAAACCTCTAAGCCTCAAAGGTGGTAGAAAAATAATATACGAAATACTCGTATATACGATAAATAGCTAAATTAACGCCGAGACTAAAGTATCACTTAAGATTTATTATAGAAGGCTTTTTTAGGAAATCCGACACATTTATGGCGCCCCA